TCTACTGACTTCTGATAACTGAATTCAATCAATAGTGAAATATATTATTGATCCAGCGTGGAAAATGTTACACAGGTTACGAGGTGAGGTGTGAAATACTCGAACACTGTTAGATATTATTTTTAATATAAATTAATCAATGAGCTATGCCTTTATTTTTAAACGGTACTCTAATTCCAGCAAGAAGGTAAATATTTTAAATTCATGTTGTATTTATTATTGAGAAAAACAATTCTTTTTAACATAATATATCTTAACTTCACTGATAGCATTAAAAATGTTTTAAAATCTGTTCATAATTTTGAAGGTGCTTCGTATATTGAACAGGCTTTAAATATTAATTTCTGAGGAAAAGGAATAATCCGGGCGCATTTTTCTTGGATGCGCGAGATGTTTGCACGGGAAATTCTTTTCGGTCTTTGAGCATGGGAAAGTTAACCATGGTAAACAGTCGTTGTGTTCCTTATTCTAAATCCTCTCGGGTTCTGTTCCGCGACGGGGCTGCGTGTATCGTGCTTCCGCACTATTCTAGGTAATATATGATGCTGCGGTTTGGCATGAGGTCGAGAACGTAGTATTTGAAGAACGGACGCATTGTTAAAACGTTACGACTGAACTCTACCGCTTAATATTATATGCTGCAAATAAATGTAGCACGGCTCACGGAGAGTTAATGAAATGAAATATTATTTACGAATAGACAGTTTTGTGTGTAAAATGAAAAATTTATGATTTCACAACAACATTATTTATGTAACGATCATTATGTGTACAAAGTCTGGCTCTAAATAATACATTGAAATATTATTTTCTTTGGATGAATTTGGTGAACTTTGAATGTATTGAAATAGAGTAGCAATTGTAGTTTAAGGAAGCTACTAGATTACGAAACTAGTTTAAGAAGCGAAAGAGAATTATGTCTGGCTGGTTTATTTCCCTCATGACAAGAACAATTCCTCTGCGACGTCAGAGTAAATCTTACAAAATGACCGGTCCACTGAGCTGGACATTTCGTAGTTAATTTTACCGACAACCATCTATCTTCATCTGTAAAACAGAACATCCAATCAAGCTATCCTCGCGTTTCGCTTCTCCTACGAAATAAAGAACAACTCTCCTTTAGCACTTCAACAGAACAGTAGTATCAGCCAATATCAATTTATTAGCATCGTGACATATTTATTAGTTAATATTTAAGAGTAGTTTTATTTCGAGTTGTCCTCGAAACGGTTTGACCCTAGCTACGGGATTAGCCAGAATGTGGAAGCGGTTTGAAATCAAGGCAGAGTTTGGAGAATTCCAGTCCAGAAAGAGCAAACACAAGATACATTGTGCAGTGGCACAAGCTCGGATCAGTTTACCGTGACGGAAGCCAGAGTGGAAAGGTCATCTTTGCTCGGTAAGAAGTCGAGTATACCGCAATGCAGTTCGGGGCATTGTGAGTCCCATTCCCCCTTTTTGGAACATCGTTGTCTCTACGTATAATATTATACATGGTCTCGACAGCGAGACTCTTCCTTCATCGATTCAGGGAACACGTTTCGCTTGCATGATTATGGGTACTCAAACTTTTAAACGGAATAGAAATATATAAAGAATTAAGTCCTTGACTCATTTATTCAGACTTTTTTGGCTCCGAATTATTGCCAAATTTAGAGACTGTTAAAGTAAAAATTATTAGATGAAAATTGATTAAACCGTTCTATTTAGAGCACGATTTATCTGCTTTATTACATAATTCGAATCTTCCAAGTGAAGCACTACTAATTTGATATTTCATTTCCCTCAGAAGCACTCGCATTAGTAATACATGTGCGGTGTGGCGTTAAGCTGAAAATTCTGTATCAAAAGTCGGAGAACCGGCGCGTGGAACTTATGAGAAACTGCGGACTGATGGAAAATCTTCTGAAAGCGATGGAAACTTAGACTGTGTACTTTGAAAGTAGCTCACTGTTTCTGTTTTACTCCCGGCTGCTACAAATACGGTAGAAAAGAAAAATAAGCTGAAGAACACTGAAAGCGCCAATATCGAATTTGCTTGCTTTCCTAATTTTACTCACTCGTAACGAGTTATTAATACCTTGTTAACCTCGTTCTTCGCTAGAATTAAGTACGTTTCTCTTACAATAATCACAAAGAGTTACATTTACGATACATTTAGTTTAAATCTCCTATATTGTACTGAACAAAAAAAGGAATATGTGACGCGTATTTCGTCTGTTTCATGTCACGGGTGTTTCAAAGAAATGCAACACGAAGCTTTTAGTTAATAATTCGGTGTAAGTCTCTTGTAAAATAAAACTTTCTATTATTAGTTCAGAGGCGTACACGTGAAAGCGGGAAATGTTACTCGTTGTTCTTTGCACACTTCAGACAACTAGAAACGGAATAATGTCACTTTTCATATTTATATCTTCAATTCATGCCTCTCTCTGCCTCTATTTTGTTTTCTTTGCTGTCGGCGATCTTGTTACACAGATTTCAAGCACAGTTTTATCAAGATACCAAACATAATTTACGTATTACCTATTTTACTACATAGAAATGTGAAATTCATTATCTCTATGCATTGTATACATACATATAAATAGGCATGTGTTATATGAAGTAATCTCACGTTGTGTCTCAGATTAGATGTTGTTCTAATAGTAATATGTTTTCGTTATAAGACACTGAAAATGAACTATAACATTCTCCATAAGTCCTTAATCCTTCTTTAATTAATTGATCAAGTGATCAAGTGATCAAAAATATTGCTATTTAATGACTTGCCATAACTTATACTGAATTATTCCTCCTGGATTCTTTATCGATTAGCGTACGGTGGTAACGAGGACCGATTTTTGATTTTGGTAACGGCACACGTGACGCGATGGCAATTAGAGAGGATCGCACGGCGCTGGAATTAACAGGGTGAATATTTAACGGAACGGGGCGCGAGGTGCGCGCGCTTGTATACGCCAAACAATAGATTTGCCGCGTAAGCTGTACTCGTAGGCGTGACGAGATACACCCAGGTGCCGGCCTCCTCGAAGATGGGCTGCGAGATACTTGCCACGGGACGCTTCGGCCATTATATCGGTGATTATATCGGTGGGTGCTGATAGCGGGAAAATGGGAAGCTTCGCGTCAGCATTCGAGAGACCGGCTCTTCACCGGTTTCGTTCGGGCCTCTTCAACGTCGCCGCCAGTCGAACAATGCCCGACCGCGAGTATTCCCTATTTCCTGTCAAGCATCGTCGACCAATTTGCTCCGAAGATTGTTTAACGTTCCCAAATGTTAACAAATCGCGTTAACAAATGAAAAATTGTAAATGGAGAGGGTATTCCGTCGATGAATGCGAAACAGTACTGTAGTAAGTTAGACATATCAGAACAGGTGAAAATTCTTTACTTTATCTCGGATGCAGATCGAAAGTCGTGAAGAAGACAATTTTTTAAATATTTAATCGTCTCTAACTCATAACAACATTAACCGATTTTTATGAAACTTCGTGCATAACTTCCTTAGATTTGCAAAAAGAACGTCTCAAATTTTTAGTGGAAATCCGAATGAAGAAGTTAAAACACATGCTCTTCACTCCTTTATTCAAGATTTTGACGAATAGTAAAAGAGACGTAAATTGACCTAATTTAACTTATTCCGCACTTAACGTAACTTGAGCACGCTTCAATTAATGGTTTGTGGCGTTTGTGCATTTAGTAATGGTATTGCTTTTACATTCTATATTATGAAAGATATAAAATTGACAATTATAATAAATGTTCGAAAATTCCTTCCTCTGCAAAAATGCACCCTTCTATTCGTCAAATTAGTGATTGCCAAATTCTTTCAAATATTCCGACCGCATTGGAAATAATAGTAAATGCATTTTGAATACATTCCCAAAGTTTATGTTTTGTTTTTATCGTATTTCTATAAACCAGCTCTACCGTTAATGTATGAACTCTTACGTCTTTCTAATAAAGCATTTCCGGACATAAGATTATATGAAATTTTTTCATCTATTTAACCTCGGGAACACGTACTATAATTTTGGTTGTTCCAGTTGGACCAACCTTTTCGGACACCCTGTATATATATGCGCGTAGAGTGTAAAAGCAATACAATTACTAAATGCACAAACCATTAATTGAAGTGTGCTCAAATTCCGTTAAGTGTGGAATAAGTTAAATTAGGTCAATTTACGTCTCTACAATTTGCATATAAAAGAAAAATCGAACTGACAATGATCAAACAGAAATTCAAGGTAATTTCACGAGTAGAATAACTAGGCCGTATGTATTTAACGGTGCATGCTTGGAATTAGTTGAAATCGATCACGTTCTGTGTGCGCTGCGTGGTAAAACAATGCTTAGATAATGGAGCAATAACCATCTCATTTTTCTCATTAATGTTAATTATTAATTCATTAACTATTTAGTTAATTGGTTACTTAGTGTAATTAAGAAAGAAGTGCGATTTTTATTTTTTATCTTCTACTCTTATATCCTTTGTATTTTGTACATACTGATTAGAGTTTCATTGCATTAGGTCTATTACCGAGAAATTCTTATTACTTATATATCTAATAGGAAAGTTAGTAATAAGAAATATCTTTTCCACTTTGCTTAAAACATAACCACTTTCATTGTATAAGTTTCTCATAAGAGAATAGGAGTCGTGCTTTAATTCAGTCTGTTAGTAAAAGTAGTCGGATCAATACGATAAATTAGAACGGGAAATGGTATATTTGACGGGACCTCATGGGGTCTGAATTTGACACGTCTGATCGAGCACCTCGGTGACACGTGATTGACGCTTTCGGATAGTAATAAGCCGCATACGTGCCAGAAGCCCAGCGAAATGCGATTATTCCGCGAAAATCGGTTCGAACCTTTTCGACCGAAATGTTGCATTTTTACTTTCGTTGCCTTTTCCCCTCGCTCGATTTGGGCCGCCACGTATCGACGTCGTTAACGAGAATTTCATTTTATTTTTATTTTTTCCTTGATTTCAGATTATTGACGTTCTGCTATCTGGCGGCGCTGAATTGCTGGTTGCTGCTATGCCCGGCAACGCTGTCGCACGATTGGCAGATGGGATCCGTTCCTTTGGTCGCATCGTTGGCCGACACCAGAAATCTGGCCACCTGTCTGTTCTTCGGCGGCTGTCTGATCCTCACGTACAAAGCTTTCACGGATTTCGAGGTAAGCTCCCGAATCTGGAATCAAAATTCATTGCGATTCGCTCGAATTCAATGTAACTTTTACTGGGGGAAAGAGAAGAGATTTCTGTGGAATAAAAATATCAGTTCCTTATGATATAGACATTGATCAGTTAAATCACATCAAAATATTATTTTGTATAAGAACTACATTTCTCTATAGTTCTTCATTGTATTTCATTGTAAGTAGTTCATTGTCGTTTCCACCGGGATTCATTAAAATTGCAAACTTTTGAGTGAATCGAATTTTTCCCCACGGCTGTTTACTATGAAACCAGCTCGCCAGATGTTTCCCGAACCTTAACGTAACGAAATTACGCCGCTGTCAGCTGATTAATAGTGAAATTAATAACGGTGTACACGAAGCGTCGTGGTCGTCCCGTCGCGTCGGCGAAAAGAAAGTTGGCTAATTGGCTGGTGGCGCACAGCGGCCTCTCCCTTGGACGTTGAACACGTTCGCGCGCGTGCAACAACAACCAAAGTTAAATGACTAGCCAGTTATCGTCCGCAACGCAAGAAGTCGTTCCGCCGTTAAACGTTTCGACCACGAATGCGCCGGGCAACGAACCGCAAAGTTTCGCGCGCTGACCCGACGACGACTCATCATGAAGTTCCACTTGCCTCCCCGAAAGTCGTGAAGAAAGTTTCCTCGGTGAGCGGAACTGCGGGTGTCCAACGGTTTTTCTCCGTCTGCATTCGTCACATCCCAATTTTTATAAATGCGCCGCGGATTTTTGTGCAA